TATCACTGTGAGTGTTAGTCGAGAGTGTCCCTGGTCCAATCATCAGTTTCATTGGTGCTTGAGAGAAATTATTTGGAATTATTTGATCTTCCCTCTATCATAAGAACTGAAGTGGGGATGTCTGCTGCTGAGTATACATTGTTTAGCACTGTTTATGATTCCCCAGGTATTGAAGCAGTGAATGTCTATAGTCAGTAAAGTCTGATTTGGGTGGGTAAGTGGCAAGTAACATTCATGCCATGCTGTGAAAGTAGAGAACGCTTGTGGCACAGAGAGAAGCCATTGAGTCAATCATGTTAGCACTGGCTGAATAAATTAGCTGCTCCTTATCCCATTTGACAGTATGGTGTCAATGACTTTGCAGATTACAGCACTTCAGGTGTAGATCTAGACTCTTTTCCAAATGAGTTGAGCATTTCTGCCTTAACCAGCAAACTGGGCGTGAATTCCAGACACCCATCAAACTCTGGGTGAAAAAGTTTTACCTCATTTCCCCTCATCCTTCTACCAGTCACCTTAAGCCTATGTCCAGTTGTAATTGACGTCTCTGCTCAGGGAATCCGTCTTCCCTGTTCACACATTCAAGTCCCTCCTTGTTTTGTATAGTTGTACATCCCACTCAAACTTACCTGTTCTATGGAAACAGCCCTAGCTTGTCAAATCTTGCCTTGTAGCTTCAATTTTTAAACCCTGACAGCATTTATGTAAATTTCCAAATAATTTCTTTCAAGCAATAATGTCATTTCTGTAAAGTGGTGCCCATAACAGTGCATAAAATGCCACCTTTGGCCTGACCAGTGTTTTTCTATCATTCTCGTATCCCCCCACCCAGTATTGGATGAGAAATTGAATACAATGAAAGGGAGCAGGGATGTCTTGCTGCAACTGTACACAGCATTAGTAAAACCACATCTGGAGTACTATGTATCATTTTGGCCTCCCTTATCTGAGGAAGGACATTGTGACTGTTGAGGGAGTGAGCACAAAAGGTTTAATGGATTGATTCCTGGGGTTGTCAGACTGATGTGTGGGGAGAGACTGGATCAATTAGAACTATATTCACCAGAATTTAGAAGAATGAAAGGGGATCTTATACAAATCTGTAAAATTACAAGGCTAAATGCAAGAAGGATATCCCCAAAGACTAGCCAGACCAGAACTAAAGTTCACAGTCTAAAGATAAGCAGTAGGCTTTGTAGGATGGAGGTGAAAAAGAATTTCTTCATCCTGAGAGTGGTGAGCCTGCATAATTCACTGAAGCTGTTGAGGCCAAAACATGGAAAACCTTGAAGAAGGTTGTAGAGAAAGTTCTTTTACATTCAATAATCAAAAGATATGGGGAGAAAGCGAGAACTGGGTACTGAGTTCAGTGCTTAGCCATGGTAGAGCATGCTCAAAAGCCGAATGGCCTACTCCTTCTATGTACCTTCTTTATCACCTTATCTACCTGTCCTGCCAATTTCAGGAACCTGTGGACATGAGATCTCTCATTTCCTCTACTTCTCTCAATACTGTCCATTTATTGTGTATTCCCTTGCTATGTTTGCCCTCTCCAAATGCATAACTTCGCAGTTCTCCGGATTTCATTCTATTTGCGACTTTTCGACTTTCTCATCCAAGCCAATGACATTGTCCTGCAGACAACAGCCATCCTCTTCACTATCAACTACTCAGTCAATTCTTGTGTTGTCTGCAAATTCCCCAATTATGTCTCCTACATTTAAGTATAAAATATTCATATATATCACAAACAGCAAGGGATCCAAAACTGAGCTCCAGGGACACCACTAGACAAGATTTTCAATCTGCAAAGTGTCCGTCAACCAGTACCCTTTGTTTCCTGTCACTGAGCCAATTTTTGATCCATCTCAGCACATTCTTTTGAATGCCACGGGCTTTAATTAATCTGACCAGTCTGCTATATTTGGCCTTGTCAAGTGCCTTACCAAAATCCATGTTGACAACATCCACTGTACTGCCATCATCAATCCTCCCAATTATTTCCTCAAAACATTCAATTAAGTAATTAAGACAAGACTGTACTTTGGCAAAAAGACGCTGTCTCTGATAAGTTGGTGCCATTTCCATTAATATGAATCCTTTCTCTCAGTACTGATTCTAGTAATTTGCCCATCATTGAGATCAGACTGATCAGCCCATAATTATCTTGCCTATCCTTTGCACCCTTTTTAAATATTGGTACAATTGTTACAGACTCTGATCTTCTGTGGTCACTTGACGATATCTAGTGAACATTGGAAAATAATCATCTTAGCATCCACTATTTCCTCCATGATTTCTATTAAGTGCCCAGGAGACTATTCTGACAGCCATGGTGATTTATCCACTGCAAGGTGGTCAGTACCTCCCTACTCCTGCTTATTTTAACTAATATTAAACACTCCACTTTAACTAAAAGGTCTGCATCATCCTTCCTTCATGAAGGTCAAGACAAAAGAACTGATTAAGAAACCTGCCCACATCCTCTGCAGTCCTGCATAAGTTACCATGTACATTTCAAATAGATCCTACCATTTCCTGACTCGTTCTCTTGCCCTTAAGGTACTGATTTTATTTTTAAAATTTTGGATTTTTCTTAATTTTGCTGGCCAGTATTTTGTCATGTCTTGTTTTCCTAATCTCTGCACTTCTCTACTTTCTATACTCATCTAAGCACCCTGAAGTGAATCTTGTATAAGATTGGCATAAGCTCTCTTATACTGCTTTATCTTGCCCTGTAGATTGTTCACAACCAGAGAGTTCTAGATTTGGCAGATGCATACATTTTTTTTCCTTTGTGAGCACTCCTTTCATTTGCATATCTCTCATTTATATGCCAAATGCAGCAAGACCTGGACAATATCCAGGTTTGGAGTGACAAGTGGAAATAAATGTTAACACTGCCAAAGTGAACACTTGCCATCTCCAACAACAGAGAATCTAACCATTGCCCTTGACATTCAAATGTATGAGCAACGCTGAATCCCTCACTTTTAACATCCGGGTGTTACCATTGACCAGAAATTGAACTGGATTAGCCATATAAATATTGTGGCTACAAGAGCAGGCCAGAAGCTAGGAATACTGCAGCGAGTAACTCACCACCTGACTCCATAAAACCTGTTCACAATATGCAAAGCACAAGTCAAGAGTATGATGGAATTCTCCCCACTTGGCTTGATCAGTGAAGCTCCAACAACACTTGAAGGTTGATACCATTTGACTACAAAGCAACCCGCATGATTGGTAGTATATTCACAAACGTTGGATCCCTCCTGCAATGCACAGTAGCAGCCATGTGTACCAATGTCAAGATGCACCGCAGAAATTCACCCAGGCTGCTTAGACATCATGTTTTGAATCCATGACCACTACCATTTAGAAGGCAAGGGAAGCAGATACATTGGAATGTTACTACCTGCAGGTTCCCCTCCAAATCATTGACCATCCTGGATTAGAAATATATTGCCATTCTTTTAGTATTGCAGAGTCAAGATCCTGAAACTCACTTCCCAGTGGCATTTTAGGTCCACTTACAGCAAATGGACTGTAGCAGTTCAAGAAGTTTCTCACTGCCTTTTCAGGGATATCTGAGTTGGCAACAAATATTAGGCCACACAACCATGAATGATTTTTTTTTTTTTTTTTGATTCCAGAGTCACTCACTAAATTTCTGTCTGCTTTGCACTGGTTTCTAACCCTTATGCAAATCCAACTTTAACCCTTCCCAATAGCAGCAGCAAATCTCTGTACAAGGATATTTCCCAGTGACTGGCAAAGAGAATCAAACGAGATCCTGTTGACAAAAAAAAATTATTGTGGCTGAAAACCCATCTATCAGCAACCTAGTCACTTGCCATTGAACAGAGATTGTGGTCACTCCAGTTCACAAATAGTGTTGCTCCAAGAGCAAATCGGAGGCTGAGAATTCTGCATGGAATCCCTACTGTGTGGAAACAGTCATTTGCCCCATTAAGTCCACACTGACCCTTCAAAGAGCATCCCACCAAACCCATCCCCTGTAACCCTACATTTCCCATGACTAAGACAGCTAACCTACACATCCCTGAATACTATGGGCAACTTAACACGGCCAGCCCATGTAACCTGCACATCTTTGGACTGTGGGAGGAAACCGGAACACCCGGCAGAAACCCACATAGACATGGGGAGAACATGCAAACTCCACACAGAAGGTTGCCCAAGGGTGGAATTGAACCCAGGTCCCTGGTGCTGTGAGGCAGCAGTGCTAAGCCCTGAACTGCCGTGCCACACTTCTATGGCAGTAACTTACCATCCTTCCCAAAGTCTGTCTGTCAGGAGTGGCTAGGAATACTCTCCACTTGTCTGAAAGGTTGCTGCTCCAACACCACTGAAGAAGCTTATCATTATCCAGGGTAAAGCAGGCTACTTGATTAGTGCAGTTTTTATCACTATCGACATTGACGCATCCGCCAGTGGAGCACAGTCGCAGCATTGTGAATCATCTGAGATGTATTGCAGCAACTTAGAAACCCCATGACTTCGATCATCCAAAAGAATAAGTACAAAGGATGCATGGGAAAAAAGTAATCTCCAATTGCAAGTAATCTCCAAGCCACTGACCATCCTAACTTGGCTCTTGACTGTTTCTACATTGTTGCTTGGTTAAAATCCTGAAACTCCATTCCTCACTGCACCATGGGTGCACTTATAAGGTCAAACATTTAATCAGAGTCATTTTAAATGTTATGGGGGCAGGGAGGAAAGTGGACTTAATGCCACAATCAGATCAGCCATGATGGAACAGGTTCAATTGACAAGAGCCAACTCTTCTTCCTAAATAATTGAAGCTACCGTAAACACAATACAATAGACTTACTCTGTAGTTAAAGGGTTATTTTGTGCCACACTTCATGAGACTTCAGGTTGAATATTTAATGTTTATAGTAGCAATACCATAACTGTAATAAATATCTACTGATTGTAAATAGCATTTCTAAATGAATTAATTTTTTCAGGAACCATGGTCATCCTTTGCTACAAATTCTAAAAATGGAGGATGTGCAATACCACGAAGTTCAGTAAGTACTTAGTTTGTCTTGAGTGTGAAGTACCAGTTCTTTGAAGAATTTCTGATTTTTTTTTTACAGTTCAATATAGTTATGTAGCAATAAATGCTCTTTCAATTGAGGAAAACATTCTGGGGTACTATCCATTCTTTGTTATAGAGACAAATTGATGATCGTGTGGCAGTAACTATGTTTGGCTTGTTACATACAATGGGGTGAACATATTTATATAATTGTGAACCATTTCCATTTAACAAATGCTGGTTTTTACTATCATCTATGCATCAAGAAAAAAGTCTGTTCTAGTAAATTGTTTAGTATTTGGATGGGTGAATTTGTTATCTGAGGTTTAGGCTATAGATTTGTGACCTGCCTGGTATTAGCAATATTTGGATTATCCAGGTATTTCCCATCTTTTGCAAGAATCATCCTGTTTCCTGATATGTGTTCACCACTTATAAAAATACAAAATATATATTTACCAATGTTAGTTAATATTACATTATGTGAAATGGTTTTCACTTTTCCATGTTATAAATCGGAAAACCAATTACGATAGGTATTTCAGCTAAGTATACAATTCTGCATGTATTGCTATTAATCACATTGTATTGCCTTATTGAAAAAAGTAGCAGTACATTAGAAATTAATTTCTGTTTATTTGTTTTGAAATTTTTGTAGCTGACAAATGATCATTTGTGTCTTGTGCGACTAACTCCACGCAAAGACTTATTCAATCAAACCTTCACAGCTGCCAATTCATCTACGCTGGTTCTGATGCTGAAGCAGTGCCTTACAAAGCGTAAAGCTAAATTAATTGACCGACTGGAGTAAGTACAAAAGACTTTACCAAGTAAAGCACTCTTGAGGAAAAACCAATTTCCCCTTCCTCCCTCTCGCTGTATTCAGTGTTGGTGGAGACTCGTCAAATGCGATTGAATCACTTTTGGTATTGCACAGCCACCATTTTTAGAATTTGTAGCAAAGGATGACCACGGTTCCTTTAAAAAATATAGGATGTCATTGAGGGAGAGAAGTATTACCTGAAGCTGAAAGTTGGCAAAAGTCGTCAGCTGAGTGGTTTAGATACTCCCCAGGGCAGCAAGCCTATAACACCAGAAGACAAAAGTGCAAAAGTAGGCCACTTGGCCCGTCAAGTCTGCTTAGCTATTCAAGGATGTCATGGTTTATCTGCTATTTCCCAACTCCGCTTTCCTGCCCTTTCTCCCATATCTCTTGATTCCATTGCTGATTAAAAATCTGTTCATCTCAGCCTTGAATATTCTTGACAACCCAGCTTCAACAGCCCTCTGCAGTCAAGAATTCTGCAGATTCACTACCTTCTGAGAAAAAAAACTTCTTCCTCATCTCTATTCTAACTGGATAGTCTCTCTCTCTGAGATTGTACCCCACGGTCTTAGACCTTCCCACAAGGCATAATGACCCCTCTGTATCTAGCCTGTCAAGTTCCTTAATAATTTTTTGTTTCACTAGGGTTGCCTCTCCTTTTTCTAAACTGCATCTGGTACAGACTCAAAATCTCTCTTTAGAAGAAAATTTTTTCATACCTAGGATTAACTTCATGAATCTTTTTTTGCCAATGCAATGTATCTCTTAAATAATAGGTCCAAAACTCCTTACACTATTCAGTGTGTAGTCTCTCTAGTACCTTGTATTGTTTTCACAAACTTCCCCATCTTTATACTCTATTCCCTTTGAAATAAATGCCAACAATCCAGTTGCCTTCTCTATTACCTGCTGAACTTGATTGCTAACTTTTTGTGATTTATGCATGAGAACCCCCAAATCCCTCTGAGATTTTTTTTCTCCATTTAAATAATAATCACTTCTGCTATACTTTCTGCCAAAGTGCATAATCTCAAAATTTTCCACTTGTATTTCATATGCAAAGTTTTGTGGCCACTTACATAACCTGTCTAAATCCTTAGGCAGAACTCTTGTGACACCTACACCACGTGCCTTCCTACCCTTTTGCATCATCCACAAATTTGGTTATAGTGCATTCACTTACCTCATCCAAGTTAATATATATTTTACATTATTGACACACTGCACTGATCACTACTAGTTGCAGGTTGCCATCCTGAAAATATGCCCCTTATTCCAACTCATGACAGAAGACAACCAATCCTGTATTCATACTTATATACTACCTCCAACACCATGAGGTATTTTATTAATGAGGAGTGGTGGCATAGTGTTAATGTCACTAGACTATTATTCTGGAGCTCCAGGCTAATATTCTGGGAGCAAGGTTTCACATCCTTGCACGGCAGAAAATGAAATTTTAATTTATAATAATTTATAAAATTCTGAAAATGATGATTCCTAAGGATAACCATGCAAACATGTCATTAAAAACCCATCTGGTTCATGATTGTCCATGTTCACGAATGTCCTTTAGGCAAATAAATCTGCCATACTTAACTGGCCTGGCCTGGCCTACACGTGGTTCCAGACCCCATAGCAGTGTGATTGATTCTGAATTGCTTTCTGTTTTGAAATTCTGATGGAGATTAAAATAAATGTAGTCTTCAATCATGATCTGCATTGCTTAAAATGGATTATATTCTGAGGCGTTGTGAATTATTTTGTATAATTGGGCAAAATGTAACAGGTAAGAACTAATTTTTATTTCTCTGTGGAAAGAGAATACAGGTTAGTAACCGGATGAAAGATTTATTAAGGGTGTGCTTAACTCTGCCTCGAGCATCCATCTGGTTTTCAGTACTTAATTTATAGCTGTGAGTAAATGTTGCCCACATTTGTCTAGCTAAATTGTTTTGCCTCGACCAGTTCAGATTAATTAACAGTTGCACCACTGACTTCCCATCAGGGTCAACAGTAGACTCCTCTTGTTATGAAAGAAATCAGACAATCAAGCAAATAACTAGCTTTTGTAAGCATTGAAATCCTATTTGCAGTGCTTAATTGAGTATACACGTAAGGGATAGATGAAGTTAATTGACTGAAAAGTTTGAGGCAATTGTGAAATAATCAATCAGTGACTGCTTTGTTTATAAATTGAGTCTGAAATAGATACAAATTGGTAAAATTAATTTACAATCAGACTGTACAAATTTGGAGATCTTGTGGCTTAGCAATAGTGTCACTACCTCTAAGCCAGAGGGCCTGGATTCAAGTCCCATTTGCTTAACAACTTGATTTAAAAATGTGTAGATTCCATAGATAGCTAATAAGTTAACAGCAATAGTTTTTATTGTGTGTTGAATAGATTCATTGCTCACTGTTAGCAATGTTTCCAGAATTTGTGCAATCACTTCCTTTCCAAATGGAATTTAATCCTGAAGAATGAGAGATGATGCATTTTGGGAGAACCAACAAGGCAAAGGAGTACACATTGAATGGTAGGTTGGATCAGAGGAACCTTGATGTGCATTTCCATAGATCCTTGAAGGCAACAGGGCAGGCGGCTAAGATGGTTAAGAAGGCATATGGGATACTTGCCTTTATTAGTCAAGGCATTAATTACAAGAGCATGGAGGCTCCTATTGAGTACTGTGTGCGGTTCTGGTCGTAACACTTTAAAAATGATGAGATTGCACTGGAGAAGGTGCAGAGGAGATTCACCAGGATGTTGTCTAGGCTGGAACGATTCACCTATGAAGAAAGACTGAGGTTATCTTCCTTGGATCAAAGGCGGCTCAGAGAGGTCTGATTGAGTTGTGCAGAGTTCTAAGAAGACTAGAAAGGGTAGACAGGGAAAAATGTTTTTCCCTTAGTCAAGCAGTCAGTAACTAGCGGCACAGTTTTAAGGTAAGGGGCAAGAGGTTTGGAGGGGATTTGAGGAACTATCTTTTCACCCAGAGGGTGATGGGTATCTGGAACCCACTGTACAAAAGGGTGTTAGAGGCAGGAACTGTCAAGACATTTAAGAAATGTTGAGATGAGCCGTTGAAATGTCATACATGTATACAAGGCTATGGGCCAAGTGCTGGAAAATGAGATTAAAGTAAATAGGTGTATGCTGACTGGTGCAGACACAACGGGATGAAGTCTATTTTTTGTGCTGTCAATGACTCTAAATTGAGCTGTCTTCATCTGCCTTGTACCCTCTGCATTTACAGTGCCCAATATACTAAATGTGTATAGCTTCTTCTGATCATGATGAATGTTAATTAGCCTTTCGAAAAATATTGTCATATTAAAATTAGTAACCCTCACAATACTTTTAAATCATCACTTAGGTCTTGGTGCCCTGGAAGTGGAGTGAAGTTACTTACGCAGGTGGGTTTATCAGAGGATATTTTAACAGGTGAAGTGCGTCCAGAAGAATACAAGGAACTCTTTGAAGCAATGGAGCACTCCCAGGATTTCAGTCAAAGCTGGCTTTATGATGAGGTTTTAGAGAATATAAGTTCTACATTATCACACATCTGAATGCATAACTTGGGGGGGATGGGGGAAAAGCGTTGTCCTGCTCCTCAGTCTCTGAGTGCTGTGTGAATGCTACCCAGATGCAACTGAATCCAAATCACTAGATAACTTCCAAGTGTTTTTCTGTATTCCTAAAAGTCTGGTTCATTAGGAAATGATATTCCATGTACACTGTCAGTGAAGACTTCAGTCTTGATGTTGTAGACCGTACTCATCAATATAACCTGCTTATAAATGACAAGGAATGTTAATCTTGATATTGGTCATTCGAATTCCTGCACAGAGATTCTTTGATAATTATGAAGCGAAGTTCAAACTTGAAGAGAACATATTGTACAGTAATACAGATTGCAGCAATCGGTGTTGCATCAATGTGTCCAAATGCTGTATTTTATTCTATTTTATTTTTATTGAAATGTACTAATATGTAATGTAATCCTCATTAAATGCTCTTATTCAGCATTGAATTTTTTTCAAAAGATTTCTGTTTGATTTTGTTTGGGACGGTATTCTTGATGTAGTACATGTTCACTTTTATCATTCTGGAAGGTCAACAAGAAGATCGTGACTGAGCTACATCCATTTTTACTTCAATTAGGGCCATTTTGTAGGGCAGTTATTCGCTAACCACATTGCACCACTATTATCCAGTAAACAGATTCAGCTCATTTGTCAAATAATGGCTAAATTCAAGTAGATCTGTTGCTGAAAATCTGAAGATTTCCATAGCATTCTCATTTAGTTTTCAGTACATTCTTGAATATACTAATTTTGATCAACTGTTGCTTTTGATCGAACATGAGAGTTGTTCACAAATGATTTGGAAGTTGAGTCTCTCTTCAGGTGTAGTCACCATGTTTTCAGCAAGGTAAACTCGAAGCTGCTGTCTATATTGAAATTCAAGGGTATGGAAATAATTGTCATCATGGTCCCAGGGACATATAAATTTAAAGCAATAAACTCTGTCTGTGATTTATATCACATCTCTCTACTGTTTTACTACGTTGTAATTCCACCCAACCACATTATGAGTGGCAGTATCAGATTCCACTCCACATTGAATGATAGATGAATGTAGGCAAATAGGCAGTGACTTCAGGTCCTCAAATATTTTTTTGCACTATCTTGTTTGCTTTATTTTCAACGGAAAACCTCAAGTTCTATCATTTTCAATAAGTTCTGTCTTTCCAACACTGACACTAATGCCCGGTTGCCGATAAGATCTGGAGCTGTGCTCTCATGGAGTTTGATGTCAATTGTGTTTCCTTAACTGAGTTGCTTTGGATTTACTGAGTGGAATCAAAAGTAAGAGACTGAGGAAGGTTGTAAGTAGCAGGTGCTCTGGTGGAAAGTGCAACTGTATGTGAGCGGTGTAGCAAACAAAAAGGATAGTTACAGCAACAGATAGCATTTTGAGATGGAGATATTTTGCTTTCTATACAGTACTGTTCACAAATTATCATGAAATATTATATGTAATTATCACCTGAAAATTTTATTGGTAGCATTCAAGTGAGAAATATATTGCAAAATAATTTTGGATATGCTGACAATAATAGAAAACAAACCCATAGATTTTTGAAGTTGTACTGAACTGGAAATATTAACTGTCTCTCCAAGGATGCTACCAGACATCCTCAGTTTCTTCAACACTTTTTTTTATTATTTCAGATCTCCAGAATCCACAGAAGTTTGCTTTTAAACCCTTGTATATATGTGTAAAAAATCAAAGAACAGACACTATCCCATATTAAAGCAATAAGAATTCTTGCACAACTTTGGAAGGGCAGATGCAGAATAAAAGCAATACTGATTTTAGTATGGGAATGTGCCAACAGAATGGGACTGAATGATTGCATGTTGACTGCTCCAGCTAATTCTTAATAAATTTAGTTTTGGTGCAGCAAATCGGCTGACATGTTCAACTGAAACATCATTCATGCTATGTCATGGTGCTGTTCTATTAGTGATGTTTAATAGTGGATGCCAGAAAGCACTGGAATTTCTACTTAGATAGAAACCATGGAATGGTAAATGATGCTTTCAGTAATCCAAATAACACTGCAGCTTGTTGGAAACTGAAATGTTGTCAGTTTTACTTTAACTTCAATACTTGTATAATAAATTGTTCAGATTTGAACAAATGTAACATTCTCAAACTCAACTCATCTGTCTTTAACATTGGTTGCTACATACTGTTAAGAACACACAGGACTGTTTTCATGAGTGTATTTGCTAATACTTCTGGTTTTCAAAACTTTCTGTGAAATTAAAAAAGGTAAAACCACTTGAGTGTAACTTCAGCTTCTGAGTTGGAAGGCTCATGTGGATCCAGGAAAACAGTTTAATTCTCTGGCTAATTTAAAAATAGATGACATATTACAGATGAACATTTCAAGGGAAAAGAAAAACAGGGTTTATGAATTAACACAGGATGCATGATAAAGTTTAACAGGATATAAATTTAAATATCTCAGATGGAGGTTGTAAAACTGCTATGTTGGATTACAGAATGAATAGACACTGGTGACTAACGTAAAGAGATCACTTGAAGGTTTTATTTATTGGTTAGTGGTGTGTTTCATTTCATTCAGCATTCAAATTGCTGTGACAACATGCACTAATATTTTATCGTTACATAAAGGGAAGGTGGATGATGAGGAACAATGCTGGCCCCCAAAAGACGAAATGGGGATATTGTTAATGATGATGGGAAAATGGCAGACATGTTGCATAATTACTTTATCTCAATATTTATGGTAGAAACAAAGGATAGTTTGTTTGAAGTCCTAAGGAAATTAATAGTGGATCAGGGACAGGGACTGAATAAAATGAAATCAGTAAAACAGCAGTAATAAAGGAAATTAATGGAATTACGGAATGACAGATCTCTAGGACCTGACGGTTTCTGTCCAAGGGTGTTAAAAGGAAATCGGAGAGCACATTATTGACACCCTAACTACAATCTTTCGGAGTTCCCTAGATGCAGGAGTTTTCCTTCTGGATTGGAAAATTGCATGTCACTCCGCTTTTGATGAAGGGTGAAAGAGGAAAACCAAGGAACTACAAACCAGTTAGCCTAATGTCTGTGGTGGAAAGGTTGTTGAAGTTTATGATTAAGAATGGGATAACTGAAATTTTTCAGTTAATTGGGAGAGCTAGCATGGATTCATGACCAGTAGATCATGCCTGACAAATTTCATCAAATGTTTTTGAATAGATGGTTAAGGTAGTAGACAGTGGATGTGGATGTTGTTTATATGAATTTCCACAAAGCATTTGATAAAGTTCCACATATGAAACTAAGGTAGAAGCCCATGGAATTTATAAATTCATTCATGGGATGAAAGTGTCACTGGCTAGGCCGACATTTATTGCCCAGAGGACAGTTAAGAGTCAACCACATGGTGGGTCTGGAGTCACATGTAGGCCAGACCAGGTAAGGATGGCAGTTTCCCTCCCTAAAGGGAGGGCATTAGTGAACCAGAAGATGGGATTATTTTTACAATAATCGGCGATGGATTAGACTCATCATTAGACTCTTAATTTCAGGGGTTTTTTTCTTGAATTCAAATTCTACAGTGGCAGGATTTGAACCTGGGTCCCTAGAACATTACCTAGGTGTCTGGATTAACGGTGGAGTGATAATGCCACTAGGCCAAAGCCTTCCCCTAAATTGAGTGTAAAGTACTTACGTGGCGAGGAATGTGATCAGTGGTGTCCCACAGAATCTACGTTAAGGCCTCAATTATTCACATTATTTATTAACAACTCAAATAATGACATAGAAAAACTCATCCAGATTTGCTGATGACACAGTTAAGCTGCATTGTAGACTGTGTAGGTGATAGTCGATCAATATCTCTTTGTAATTTTATGCTAAGTGAATGGGCAAAACTGTGCCAGACAGCTTCACTGTAAGCAAGTGTAAGAGATATAAATTTTGGATCAAGAAAGGATAGATCAGAGTACTTTCTGAATGGTATGAAGATAAATACAGTCCAAAGAGACTTGGTTCAGGTGCATAGATCTTTAAAATGCCATGAACAGGTGCAGAAAATAATCAAGAAAGCTCATGGTATGCTGGCCTTTATAATCTAGAAAACTGGAGTACAAGGATGCAGAAATTATGCTGCAGTAATATAAAACCCCAGTTAGACCCCACTTGAAATACTGTGAACAAATCTGGGTACCACACCTTAGGAAGGATATAATAGCCTTGGAAGGAGTAAAATGTAGATTTACAAGAATGATACCTACACTTAAAGGATTAAGTTACAAAGAGAGATTATACAAATTGGCCTGTTTTCTCTAGAATTTAAAGGTTAAATGGTGATCCAATCGAAGTCTTCAAGATATTAGCAAGAAAAGATACGTTAGATGAAGATTAACTATTTGCACTGGTTGACAATTCTAGAACTGGTAGTAAGATCTGAGAATTAAGGCCAGACAGTTCAGGACAAATGTGACAAAGCACTTCTACGCATAATGTGGTAAATGTTTAGAACACTGTTTCATAAATGGCAGTGGACGTGGGATCATTTGTTAATTTTAAATCTGAGACAGATATAATTTTTTTATTAAGCAAAGGTATTAAGAGATATTGGCCAAAGGCAGGTATATGGAGTTAGTCCACAGATCAGCTATTATCTCATTGAATGGCCTTCTCCTGTTGAGATGTAGTCTGGAGCAATGGATTGGGATGGTAGACGTTTCAATGTTCTTGCCATCATGTGGTTGATGAGGAATCTCGCATGATCCTACTATCTGCTATTGTGTTGGAAGGAATCACAAGTTGATGCTCAACCTGTCTGATCATTTTATAAATGCATTTTCCTTGACCATCGTTGTGGGATGCGATCTGAATCCCAAGGTTCTTGCTCAGGCAGGAATGCTGCCCACTGTGCCACAGACTTCCCATTGTTGGGGAGAGGGTAGATATTCAGTTATAGCCTTAAATTTATGTGTGCCTCTTTGTTTCAATAACGTACTTATTTGTTTTCAACATGACTTTGGTCACTTGATCTGAATTTCTTACTGTTTGGTGTCTATCTCCCACATTTTCCAACCCTACAAAATACTCAAGTTATTTCCAGTGTAATAAGAAATTTCACTTCCTAAGTTGCTGATTTGATGAAACAAAATAGAATCCCCTGTACAATCCACATATTCTACCATGGTTTGTAAATAGTCAATATGTTTATATTGTGCCTTTAATACAGGGAAATGTCCCAAACTCTCTTACAGAGGTGTAATCAATAGATTCTACTTACTGGTTTGGGGGGCGGGGGGGCGGGGGGTGGTGCAGGTATATCCATGACTGCTGACGACCTCTAAATTGTCCTTGTGCTTTTTGAGACATAGAATCTTCTAAATTCCACAAAACTAATCTTACCAGCAGGATAGATGTATCCAAATGACGGTTCCCCCTCATCCCAGTGAATGGTGTATCATAAGGGCTCCTTAATTCTCCTCTGAGGAGTAGTGATGTTGTTCTGTGTTGTGGAATATACCATGTAAACTGGCTTCCCAAACACCTAGATAGCAAGACTCAATGACTTCAGGTTCTGACATGTTCTTTGATTCAGCCTGTGCGAGGTGAGTTTTCTATCTGCCTACCCCAAACTTTCATATTTAGCGTGGCAAGCTACCTCCTCCTCCAGCTCTCCTAATTTTCAGTCCAGGTGTCTATGCATTGAGAAGCCTCAGGAATCATGTGGTGTACTGATTGTTGTTCTCCTTCCTGATTTTGCAATGCTCAAAGCTAAACCTGCAAGTCCAGATTTTTTTTGTTTTACAGTCAAAGTAGTATGCTTTTAGATAAAGTCCAGGTAACAGTTTTTCACTAGAATTTCAACCAGTACACACAAAATCTCCAAACGTCTTCTGCCTTGTGTACATTTTATTACAATTAATTAATTAGCTCACAACATCTGTTGACTTGTTACCTTTAATTCCTGGAAAGCTAGCATCTTTTAAACAGAATTAAATATGTACATTCTATCCCAAGCTGTCTACCAATAATTCATTTCTGTGTGATTTCTTGATTAAATGGATGCATAAGCTCCCACTTCCCTGAACCATATATAACCAAAATATACCAGGTCATGAGTATCTTTTGTGGTCATCAATCAGTCCTCAAATTTAGGTAGTATCACAGTGCTTCATCAGGATGTCATGTACAATTGTGAATGAGCAGTTTTCATTTTAGGACTTCATCTTATGTGTAATATTGATTGAGAATGTGTAAAGGTAAAGGGGCGATCTCCTTCCATCACTTTTAGCAGCAAACAGCTTTCTATATTCCAAGCTGGTACAGTTTACTTGCAAGACTTCTGAAATGAGTACTTGTTTGTGTTGCTATCTTCTGCCCCCTGTCTGGCCTCTTCACCAGGAGTGGTATGAATAACTGGCTCACTAAGTGACACAACTGTGAACAATGTCACCAAACTAATGGGGCTGCTGATCTGTGTTTACGACTATGGAATTATCTGCATGTAAACCTTGCTACTAGTTTTTATTTTACTATTTCCAGAAATCTGAGCATTGCTAGCAAAGGCTTTCAAAATTCTGCCTTATCTTGGAACAAAATAACCATTCATCTGTAAGAAGTTCCATGAGTTTCTTCTGTTTGTGCCTGTAAAATCTAAGAATAATTCATTTTACATCATCATAACCACACTATAATCATACATGATTGACAGGGTTGACAAAGGAACACCATGCAACCCACAAATAAGTATCAGCATATTTTTGCCTTTTGTCTCCTTTCTGATAAGTTTGTGATGCTTGACACATATTACTGTATTCAACAATAAGGGGTTGACCACTTTGACCTGAAATTAGATACTTCTCCATTCAGATAGTTATGAATCTTTGGAATTCTATATGCCAAGAGGCTTATGAATGTTTGGTTGTTAGGTCTATTCAGGACTGATTGACAGTTTTGTTTTAAGTCAGGGTTTGGGCAGGAATGTGGAGTTGAGGTAAATCACTGGCCATGATCTTAAGGAATAGCAGAATAAGCTCAAGAGATCATTATAGCCTGCTTCTGCTCCTGTTATCAAGTTATTTTAATTGTTTGTACAGCTGCTTTAATTATGTGACTAACTCTTTACTTGTTATCATAAACTGATCATGCCAAGAAACATTTTGTTTTTGAATGGCTTCAGTGTGTTCATGGAGTCTGGTGATGCTTTCAAAATTCCAGTTTCTCAAACTGAAACTGAATTGCATTAATAAATAGCAATGATGGATGTAGCAAACAAAACAGACACCTGTGAAAATTCTGCATTTTCTGAAGAATATTTTACAGCAATCGTTGAGAAAGATACAGGAGGGTGTTGTGTCCAGTAAAGTAGAATTAGTAGTCGATGTTGCATGGCTGTCGTTTTAAATGATCAATCAATGTGTATTACCATGGGCTGCTTATACTTCTACTTCATTTAGGTTCAAGCAGGGAGGTGGGGCATTCCTCCTGATAGATAGCTAAAAGTGACATTAGTGATCAGTCTCTGTTAATTTCTCATTGCAAAAGTTAAAACAATGCAAGAAGTACAAATCTCCCTACGCTCTCAATCGCAAAAGTGGAGAATCAATATGATGTGTGCTCCCATTGGAGGTCAATAGATCCTGGAGAAACAAAAACAAATTACGAATTAAACTGGACAAACTGCAAAATATTACACCGTAGGACATAGGATTGTGGCAATGATACTTCAACATTACCTTTAGCAGCATATCCTGATGAAGGCCAAGCACTTTTCTACAAAAATGAACAGAAGAATTGTTGGGCATGTCGACCCAAGATTCGGTTGTGAACTTACTCACCATTAAGTGTACCAACATTTTTGTGGGTAAATTCTGGGATGGTGCATGTTTCTACCGGATTTCTGTTTGGGGATAATATCATTGTAGTTTCCATTACAACTGAGGCTAAAGCTGCTGGTAGTTGGAATGGCATTAGAATTGACAAATACTGGAATTAGGTATAACATCTTTACTTGGCCATATGCCATAATTTCTTCTTTACTGTTGGTCACCATCAGGAGTTGAAGAAGGCCTAACTCCTTGGGAAGTGGGAAAGGCACTATCTTATCATCAGATAATTAATTCAAATTTTCCTGGTTTCCTTGATTTACCTTCAGGAAAACAGCAATGACGTTTTCTTATTACAATCTACAGTCTCAGCATATTCTCAGGATCTTGCAAAATTATTTCACAATAATTCCACAAGCTACTGACCCACCTAAGAGTTTTCCTTCTTGAAAATGAGACGCAAATATTTATTACCAAGATGGCTGTGCTGATTTGGGAGATGCATTGTATCTGTTTGTGAATGTGAAGAATTGCATCCTCCCAGAGTGTAGCTTTCATTCAGTATGTGTCAAGGTTTTGGAATGAGTTTAAATTCATTGTTACTTTGTTATGTTGTGTGTGAAGAGGTTGGAGCTAATTGTTATGCAACTATATATTCTGAGATGTCACGTTCACTGTTATACTGCAGTCATGTGCCGAGTAACAACGTATCTGTCTACCAATCTATAAGTAGTATGGAAAGCCAAAAAAAATGTTTGATGAACCTCCAGTGTTTTTGATTCCACAAATGTAATTATTTTGAATTGTCGGAACCAAAAGACTACCTACAGGTTTTTGACTCACTGGTAAAAATGCCATCAACTGGACCGAAGTGACACAAAAGCTGAAATAGACTGGACAGTACAATGGAAAAAAAAGTGATTGCTTTGAGATATTTGAGGCTGATACTTTAGTATTCATTGAAAACTATTTCATATCCAAAATTTTGTTGAGCTGATAGTAGAACTGGGCATGATACTGATGTTACTGGTATAATCATGAATTAGTGCCACCTCTTCTAGAATTGGGATATCTTACAGCACTGTGCATTGTGCCCATGTCTCTGGGCCTGAAGCTTTAGGTTTGAGTCCTGCTCCAGGACTTGAAGTTTGCTTATGTGTATTAATATATCTCCGACAGATGGTTAAGATCAGGAGGCTCTCCTGGTTAGCTCAGCTTGATGTAGCGTGTCACCCTCCAAGTGGGGGTGATCGCCATGGAGACAGACCTAAAAGAGACACTTTAGGTATGGGGAACATCTAGGTACAATAATTGGTTAAAAATGCCCACATTAAAATAGAGGAGTAAAACATAATTTTATGTAAACAATTTGTCTTTTTTAGACAAAATGTCATGCTAAGATTTGGCTATAGAGAGTTGAGGCAGGAGATGAACCTTAATCTTCTTGAGTGGCTGAACAAGCTGAAACAACGGAAATCAATTTCTTATCTGAAGCGCCGAACACCACGACGAGGGACCAGCAAGTGTTGGTCGGAGTCGCGCTGCCACTCTCTCTCTTCTCCGACAGAGGGGAGCATCGGGGGAGACGGCCTCCTCCCTTCGGTCTTCAGCTGGTTCCAACAATGGTGCTCAGGTGAGAACTCTTTGGTCGTTACCTTAACCAGGCAGTGAAGCGCGGGCTGGAGCTGACGCGCGCGTTCACTGCCTGGTTGATGACCCGGATGCTCAGCGAGCGAGAGAGAAGCGCCAGCTGTGGACCTCTCGAGCACACTTGGTGGGGCGAGCAGAGGTGAGGAGGGCGCGCGCCCCCTTTTTGTTCCTCGCTAACGGCTCGGCGCTTGGAATGCGGCTCGCGCCGGCTCCGTTAGAGGGGAGGGCGGACTGAGCCAGAGGTGGCTGGGCGGGCGATGGATGCGGAGTGTAGGGGTTCGGCTGTCGCCGCTTCCACCATCACCGCGGGGTGAGTGCTCCCCCGTTCTCTCTTTTTTTCTTTACAGAGTGACATTGCTCCTGTTATCAATTTTTTTTTGGAGGGGAGAAAAATGGACTCGAACATGACATTACTACCTCCCCCAGGGCTGGCCTGTGCGTAAGGACTTCAGTCAGTCTCCGGTCGACTACCGATGTTCAACACTCTGCCTTTCTGTGATTGTTGTGAATGTTGTCAGCGATAGGGTTAAAGTATGTACCTTATCCTGTCGCTAATCTCTGATGTAATTCCTACAGCAACCGTGGTCCACCCCCTTATCCCCCTCCAACTTCCCTCACCCTTCCGTGGCCCGGAGCCGCTCGGTGCCATTTATCGATGCAATTTTTATTTTTCTGCAAATATGGCTTAATTGAATCTGCCTGTGTATGTCTCCCCTTGTCGTATCGCCGTTGTTCGACTTCCCCACCCGGTTAAACCCGATGCTAAAGGTTTAAATCCCAAATCTTTCACCTGTCAACTCGATCATTCTCGGACTCGGAGTGCAAAAATCCAGGCTGACATTCCAGTGTGGTGCTGAGGGCAGTGTTGCGCTGTTCAAGGGTGCGATTTGTCAGAGGAGGCCTTAGGCCGATGTTAGTGAATGTTGGCAGTGATCGAAAGAAGAGTAGGGATGTTATACCTGTGCTTGAGCCAGTATTTATCCTTTGGTCAACGTACATCACAAAAAAAACAGACCACGATCACATGGATGGTTGTGGCAGATTGCTGTGTACAAATTAGCTGTTGTGTTTTTTGCATTGCATCAGTGACTACACGTCAAAGAAAACCCACTTCTTTGGCCCTTTTACCTAGTTTTCTAATCAACCTGTTCAGTGATGTTATTACACACCTGGAGCAGGTGGGACTTGACTCGGGGCATTATGTGAAAATAAGGGTCCCCGCCCCCTTAATTCTGCACCACCCGCATATCGTATGGCAGCCTGCATGGGTTCTATCCCCTGGCTAAATAATTTTAATGCAGCTGCTGGCCTTTTTTCTCCTCATTATTTGATTTAACAATTACAGCATTTAAGAGGCATCTGGATGGGTATATGAATAAAGAAGCGTTTAGAGGGATATGGGCAAATGGGACTACGTTAATTTAGGGTATCTGATCAGCATGGATGAGTTGGACCGAAGGGTCTGTCTCCATGCTATACAGCTCTATAATAGTTTTTCTTCCCCCACCCCCGCCAAAGATTTTTCTGTTTCAGTGCTATTTTATGCCCTGGATGTTGCTGTTGTAGCTTCTCACTTTCAATAGTGTGCCAGGATATTTGTCCTATTCTGTCTATTGTCTAGGCAATAAAAGCAGCTTGTAAGTGTTATTCTGAAATCCCACTTGTACTCTGTCACCAGAGTGCTGTTCACTGTCCACTCTGTCTTCATACTTCGGTTGCTTATGATTTGTCTCACTGCATTCTGACATCCAATGCTGAATGAGTGGAATTTTCTTCCAGTTATATAATGGGAAAACTAATGTCATTGCGCTAAACATAACAATAACATCAGTGGTTTAGTATTTCACTCTGGGACAGTTTTGAATCCCACCGTGGCAGATGGTGATAATAGGATTTAATAAAAATCTAAGATAAAAAGAAGGCTAACCTGATGGTGACAATGTAACCACTGTCGATTATTGTAAAGGCCCATCTGGTTCACTCATGTCCTTCAGGAAAAATATCTGCCATCCTTATCTGGTCTGACTTAAATGTTGCTCCAGACCCACAGAAATGTGATTGACTCCTAACTGTCCTCTCGGCAAATAAATGCTGGCCTAGCCAGTGACTCACGCATTTCATGAGTGAATTAAAGAAAAATGTCTTCAGCCCCCATTTTAAACTTTATTCCCCAACTATTGATTTCATCCCCCTTCTGGTTGCTGTCTGAGACTGAACCAGACTGTCGACAATATCTGTTAATTTGACACTGAACTGAACTTTTAACCCGAATTTCTTCCAATTTTGAAGTCTAACCCCATAATATTGCCTAGTTCTACCTCTTGTCTCAACTCATTTGCAACTGATATCCATGTCTTTGTAATCTTGAGATGTTGATATCCTGATCCTCTCCTGGACTTGCTCCCACTGTCCACCCTGTGTGAACTTGCGCTCAACAGTTAGTGAGTGAGTTGGAGTTGCAGTCAGACTATACTGAGTGTGAAGCCATGTCGCGACAGTAACTCTTATTGGTAATGTACGTCTTTTATTGGAGGTCTTAGAATGTTTGGCATTTGTATGCTTCTGGTAACTTTATGCCAATATTATACTACATAGTTTAAATTGATGCAAAATTGAAACCATAGCATAACTGGGAAATTATTTGTATCAATAAAACTTATCTCTAGGTCATTGTTTTAGTTGGGAAAGTTAATGTTACAACAAGGTTATGATTGCAGTTTACTTGTAAACTAGAATCCTTTGAATTTGTGCCATGTGGTCCTCTAGTTCACAATTGTTAGAGATTGTGCAGACTACTTGTTGAGTGAGTTCATAGCAAGCTCATCACTGGTACCCTGCCAAATCTGCTTTGGGCAGATCTGTGACAAAACTGTCTCTCCCGAACTTTTATCAAATGTGATTAATAAGCAATCAATAAGTTGTCATGCCAATTCTGTTTTACTTTTCTGATTTGGAGTGAGATGACATACTTTGACATTTATATATGCACAGTTTAGAAATTTCTATGTATAAGCGTTTAAATTCAGGTCCACAGTCTAAAATTTTGACATTAAGACCTATTCACTGTATTTTGGAAAAGGAATTGGTTAAGTAACTAACCAGGTTTTACCTTTTAAATCTGGCAATCATGTAGTTTTTTGAGATTGCTATAATGTTCCTTAGAATTTATCCAAGCTGGCCCCTCCACAATGTACCTAATTCAGCAAACGGGTTTTTAATTAGGTGTTTAATTCTATACTGCTTTGGAAAATGATGATGGTCCTGTTATAGTGGCCCATGATTTCATACCATTCAGATCTTATTTTGGAAAAGAAAAAGGTCCTAATTTTAGTTCTATAACCTGTAGTTCTTGAATATGCCAAACTGTTAGCTTCACTAAAGCATTTACTCATTCATTCTAATATGTTAAGTCTATTGCATTTAGTTTTCAATGGTCATTAGACTATTAGCCATCACTACATATTTTTAGCTCTTTAGCGATTTTGCAGTTACATTCACATTTGTCGACACTAGAGGAAGAATTTTGTACAAACAGCATTGTATTTCAAGGACAACCGAAAGAACTGCAGATGCTGTAAATCCGAAATCTCTTCACAGATGATGCCAGACCTGCTGAGCTTTTCCAGCGACTTCTGTTTTGTATTTCAACGAACTATGGCTCATCTAAAGTCTAAATAAAATGGATACAAGTAATTTTAAATAAAAACAAAAAATACTGCAAACATTTAGCAGATTAGATAGCATCTGTGGAGAGAGAAACAGAATTTATGCTTCGGTCCTTTTGGAACTTTTAAAAATAAAACCAAAAGAATTGCAGACGCTGAAAATCAGAAACAGAAACCAAAATAGCTGGAAAGACTCAACAGGTCTGGCAGCATTTGTGGAGAGAAATCAGTTAATGTTTCAGGTCCAGTGACTCTTTTTCTCAGAACCTTTTGGAACTAATCTGTTTGAGGTCTGTACCGTGTTGTTAAATACTTCCATAATTTAAAGATAGCATGGATGTCTCCACATAGAGACGAGAACTAGGGACTATTAAGACAAGATAGTCACCAAAAAATCTAACAAGAAATTTAGAAGAAACTTCTTCATCGCAAAGTAGTTTTAATGTGCTTTTCACAGCAACAAGGAGTAGTTAAGGTGAATAGCTCAGATGCATTTTAGGGGAAAGCTAGTTCAGTGTGAGGGAGAAAGGAATAAAATAATGTTACTGGGGTTAGATGAAGAAATAAGAGAGCTTGTGTACAGAGTGAACACCTGCCTGAATCTGTCAGGTTGAATGGTCTGTTTCTATGGTACAGAATTTTGTAATAAAAACTTTGTGAATGTAATCAACCAAACCACATTAAATGGACAAAGCAAGAAATTTATAAAACCATTTTCAAAGTACGGAATTCCTCCCAATTCCCCTCATTACCCCACCCACCCCATTTTAAAAAAACCTATAAATGAATGATTGGAGGGTTTGAGAAGGTTTGTATGGAGCAAATAACATTGTGTAAGCCAGTAGGGTGTAATTATCTGTTTAGTGTTGTCTTTTTGATAGTTCTATGTATAGTTGTTATTGATTTTGATTGAGAGAAGATTGCGAACCAGGATATTCATCTTGATTATGTGTAGTTCTTTTAAGATTTTACCTCCACTTGAAATAGGAAGACTGGGTTTAAGTTAATTTATTTGAAGGAGGATACCTTTAACAATGCAATACAATGTTTAAATCAGCGATGAAGTTTAAATCTAAAGCTTTCTGACGTAAAACTCAATGATATTACAGATTGAGGCAATCAATGGTCAGCACACTTCCACGTTTGAGATAAAGTGACAATAGAGCTTTAACTTGCACTTAGTTCTTTTACAACATAATCTAATTCTGCTATTTAAACACCATATTGGGCTGTGAAAAGTAAATTAACACCTCTATTTAACTGTCGGACAACTGTCATGGCAATTGTAGTGTGGTTCCTTTTACAAATGCTTGTACCAGTCACTTTATGTACTGCATAAGAATTCTTAAACTGCTCAGAGTAACTTCGTATGCTTAAATTTTCCCTTTCCAGTTTGGTAAATACTCCTTGTATTCTGTCAATGTGGGTTATTTTCTGCGAGAAGATACATTGTGTTCTTTGTCCTAGAATTGCAAGTAGACGAATATGCTACATTGACATTGACAATGCATTGACAAGAAGTTATGCAATAGTTTTTGCCAGATCAAATCAGGAGGGGTTGTGTCTATTTATTGATGGCAGAAATGTCCAAAGTTAATCGTTCGTTCTGACACACGATCCTATTTTGAAAACAAAACTACATGTA